AAAAAAAAAAAAAATTAAAAAAAAAAAACAAATAAATAAATACATCTTAGTAAAACCAATGCCTTCTCAGCTTCGCATCGAAGCTAAAAAAAAAATTAGGATTATTTAGGCTTACATAATAAGCTAGTAAATAAAGTAACTCATTTCCTTATTTAATTTAAAAATGAGTAAAAATCGTTTTTGATTATTTTTTGTTTATTCAGATATAATTGTCTGATTAATAATTTGTATTATTAGTATTAATATTATAATATTTGTATTAGAAAAGCTTACTTTCCAAATAATTAAATAAAAAACGTATCAAAATATAATGTATTATTTAGTTAATAAATATCTGTGGAGTAGTTGTTCGATAATAAATATATTAAGCATTAGTATATTTTATATTTATAGGTGTTGGTATACTTACACGGAAAATGGGTAACTGTATATCTCCAGTTGTCGAACTTACAAAAAATGACGATGAAAAGTATACCTTAACTTCAAATTCAACTTTCAAAAACACGGCGACTGTATTTAAATTAGGTGAAGAATTTGATGAAGAAACTCCCGACGGTCGTAAAGTCAGATCAATTATTACACAAGATGGAAATACTTTAGTGCACAAACAAAAAAGTGACAAGTTAGAAACAACAATAATCAGAGAGTTCAAACCTGACGAACTTAAGATGGTAAGAAAAATTGTATTAAAAGCAAAAATAACTTAAGAAAGTAATTTTATTATTATTTTTAGGTTTTAACTGTAAATGACATCACTTGCACCAGGATTTATAAGCCTTTATAAATAAAAGAATAAATTTGCTCAATAGATATTATAAATTATAACTTGATATAGTTGTTTAAACTTATTACAGCATTAGATCTTCTATCTATGTTCTAAACTTATTAAATATTTATTTATTTACGATCTAATGTTAATCTGTTAAAATAATTTATTTAAAAGAGATTATCTACAAATTTATAAATTAACTATGTNATTTATTTAAAAGAGATTATCTACAAATTTATAAATTAACTATGTTTTTAATTTATTTAAATGAGCACTTTGAAGGTTCTAAAAATTATACTATTGAAGTATATTTTTATTTTTTAAGGTACATATTCTCTGATATATGAAGATTAATTTATTGTTCTTTTTTTAAAATGTTATACATTAATACAATTTGACTTTTGTGAACCCAGAGTGAAAATTATTAAAATACTTAACTTATTAAGGTGTTAGTTAATTTAAATAAATGAGGATTTTTTAAAATTAAACCTGTA